GACTGTGTCGGACCGAAAATGAGCTCGTATACATTCACGATAAGCTTGCATTGTGTCCGGCCCGGGCAGACTTACCTTCTTCCCCCGAATACAACGTATATGGTCATTATAGCTTATTTGGGGTATCTTCCAGTCGAAGGAAAGCTATAATGACCGCACGTTGTATTTGGGGGAAGAAGGTAGGGTGCAGTGTTCCTATCAGCTGACCCAGGGTTGGGCTGAAGAGGTCTGCGTCTGTTGTTTGTAAACATAAGTTTTTTTTTTTTTTTTTTTTTGAAAAACTCTATTCACAATTTGGTATGTGGGTCTGTAGTTCCCGGGCGCATTGATTGCCCCGGGAGACCCGAGGGGACTCACCGCCCAGGCTATATATGAAAATATCAAAATGCACCTACACAGCTGTGTCTGTTGTTTGTAAACATAGTTTTTTTTTTTTGTTGAAAAACTCTATTCACAATTTGGTATGTGGGCCTGTAGTTCCCGGCCGCATTGATTGCCCCGGGAGACCCTAAGGGATTCACCGCCCAGGCTATATATGAAAATATCAAAATGCACCTACACAGCTGAACCTGGACAAACAATCGTTATTGCATTCAATCTGCGGCACTGATTGCCGTGCCCGAGCACGGATCGACCACAGTTCCACCACTGGGCCCATGCAGCAACGGTTGGGAATTGGGCCCAACATTCCCATTGACTTCTGATTGTGCCACTGGGCCCATGAAGCAACTGTCGGGAATTGGGCCCAACATTCTCATTAACGTCTGATTGTGCCACTGGGCACATGAAGCAACTGTTGGGAATTGGGCCCAACATTCCATTGACCGCTGATTGTGCCACTGGGCCCATGCAGCAACTGTTGGGAATTGGGCCCAACATTCCCATCGACCGCTGATTGTGCCACGCAGCATCGGTTGCCCTGCTTTGATGAGGAAATGAATCGGGATACACCGCATGGACCAGGAGGCCTCGTCTCACTGGGCCGAGTTCCTGTGCGCGATACGCAAAAAAAGTCGCTTCTCGAAAAAAAAAAAAAAAAAAAAAAAAGCCGCATGCTGGCGAGGCTTTGAGCCCTATCAGCCTTTTGGCTGTTGAGCCTGTCGTCCCCTGTTCCCCGCATGTCAACCCCACACCCCCCTGCCGTAAGCCTGACGAGGAGGTCGTCGAAACTGGTTCGGCTTGTCCTTTGTCCGAATCTGTGTGCCAAATCCAGTACCATTTGGCTTTTCCGACGGTTGTGTGGTAGTCCAATAAGCGGCATGTTTTTCTGATATCTTGCCTCTGTTATTGCCGGTCACTCCTGGGTTCGTCCCTGCCCTTGCCGTGTCCAGTTCCTTCTGGTTTGTCCCCCCCGCCCCTTGCCGTGTCCAGGTACGGGCTATGACGGCTGATCGCTCCTGGGTTTCGTCCCCGCCCTTGTCGTGTCCAGCAGTCGCTTCTGGGTTCGTCCCCGACCTTGGGCGTTGACGCACGGCACACGAAACGAAAAACGAAACGAATGTATCTTCCCCCAGAAAATGGCCAGGTTCATTGGTTTGCTATAAATAGTAACGAGCGTATTTTGCCACCTTTGGTGTGCAGATGCACTCGTTTTGTTTTCGTTTCGTGTGCCGTGCGGCGAGACCCCTTGTCGTGTCCAGGTAGGGAAGTTATGACGGCTGATCGCTCCTGGGTTTCGTCCCCGCCCTTGTTGTGTCCAGCAGTCGCTTCTGGGTTCGTGCTCGCCCTTGTTGTGTCCAGGTTGGGAAGCTGTGGGTCTCGCTGCACGGCCCACGAAACGAAAACGAAACGAGTGCATCTGCCCACGAAAGGTGGCAAAATACACTCGTTACTATTTATAGCAAACGGGTGAACCTGGCCATTTTTCTGCAGGAAGATGCACTCGTTTCGTTTTTCGTTTCGTGTCCAGTGCGGCGACACCCTATGACGGCTGATCGCTCCTGGGTTTCGTCCCCGCCCTTGTTGTGTCCAGCACTCGCTTCTGGGTTCGTCCTTGCCCTGTCGTGTCCAGGTTGGGAAGCTATGATGGCGGTTCGTACCTCCTCCCCTCCCCCCCCCTCCCCTCCTTGTCGTGTCTAGGTAGGGAAACTAGTGACAGGTGATCAATCCTGGGTTCGTCCCCGCCCTTGTCGTGTCCCCGTCGGGAAGCTATGATGGCTGATCGATGCACAACGTGAAAATGTTGAACACATTTGTTTTATTTTTAGTCCCACATGAATGAAGGGTAAAAAAAAAAAAAAAGCGTCCTGCATCAATTGAAGTTAAGTTAGTAAAACCAAATCGCAAGTTCTGAGAATTGTGAACATTGCAAAACATGCTGCAAAAAAATGGATTTCTGTCAGACGCTGTTTATCTTCCTCCGAATGGATGGTGCGTTTTTTTTGGTCTTCTTGTCCCCTGACACCCACCCTCGTCTGCCTTGGCGTGGGTCTTGTTATCCCTTGGTAGGGGGAGAAAAACAAATGAACAGCCAAGCTGAATGATTTCTTCTATGGCTTGTCTCTGTGCTTGTCTGCGTACGTGATCTGTGTGTGTGAAGGTGCCATGCTCCCTGTGTATCTTTATGGCTCAAAGACGAAGCCGCAGTCCAAGCGGGTGCGATCGTTTGGAGAGCTTCACAAGCTGTTGGATATGGAGGTGGCTGTTGAAGGCGGCGAGGATCCTTCTCATTCATTCCCTAGTTCATGTCCGAACATGTTTGGCAACCTGCTGCTTACGCAGGTAAACACGGTCATCTGTCTGTTCATTCATCCATCGGGTTTTAAAAACCAGAACTTAATTTTTTTTAATAAAACCTGCTCATTTTCATCTATATTCATTCACCCATTTATTCATTTCGTTCAGTAACTTCGATTCTCAAGTTGTCATTGGTAAAGTCTAATTTTCAGGTCGTCAAAAAAAAAAAAAAAAAAAAAAAAAAAAAAAAAAAAAAAAAAAAAAAAAAAAAAAAAAAAAAAAAAAAAAAAAAAGTACCTTGGGGTTTATGGCTCCTTTCCATTCTGAGGAGCATCAGTGCGGTTCCTATTCCACCGGCAAGTCGAAAAATAAGTAAATAATAATAAAAGTTAAAAAAATAAAATTGTACGTTGTCATTGTTAAAGTCTAATTTTCAGGTCATTAAAAAAAAAAAAAAAAAAAGCAGTACCTTGGGGTTTATGGCTCCTTTCCATTCTGAGGAGCATCAGTGCAGTTCCTATTCCACCGGCAAGTCGAAAAATAAGTAAATAATAACAAAAATTAAAAAAATAAAATAGTACCTTGGAGTTTGGGCTTCTTCCTTTCCATTCTGGGGAGCATGAACGCCTACCTGCTTCAATTTGTCTAGACTCTAGATGTAATCCAAGATGGCTCTAAGGCTTTGTAAAGCAAACATTCCAAAAACAATTGAGTTCCCTCTTGTATGATGTCTACAAAATTTAGTTTTGAGGGGGGTAATCGGCAATAGAAAACAGTTTATTTAACTTTATTACCTCTACTTTAAAACCGGACATCAGTGCGGTTCCTATTCTACCGGCAAGTCGGACAGTTTAATAAAATTTAATTCTGATTGTCATGCTAATTTTCAACGTCATATATCTGTTTGACGATGTATGTGACGATATAGAGTTTTCGATCTGGTGTGGGTGAGTGATAGTCTGCTTTGATTTTCGTCACAGGTACCTTGAGGGCAGCTGTTGCTGCCGACCTCAAGGTATCAGTTGTTGGGCTGTCGTTGGTGCTTAATCGCTTAACCGGGGTTAAGGTGGATTATCACTTACAACGTAATCAGTAAGGAGACTCTGCAGTGTAGAGGGTTCAGCCTCCTGATGAGTCAGTTGGTGAAACTCTGATGGAACAGTTTGTCACAGCCCCTCGTTCGTTGTCCTCTTCTCCCTTTTGTCCCTCTCTGCCTACGGTTTACTGGGCAGCTCCGCTGTTTGACAATATAATTGGATATATACTATATAGTTTATTTAACTTTATTATTATAATTTTAAGGGAAAATTTCAAATTTGTCGGTGCCCCTGTATTTTCCATTATTTTGCGTTGCGCCCCTCCAACGGCCGATTTACCCTGTCGCAACTCTCCAATGGCCGATTTACCCTGTCGCGCCCCTCTGACCACAAGTCAAAATTTCCATAAAACACTGGTGTCGTTTGGGCCTCGTATGTTTTCGTAGTGCCTCTACCGGTACCCGCACCAAATTTGCAGCATGCCCCTACCGGATAGCCGTTGGAAAAATTATGATATGCCCCTATCGGATAGCCGTTGGAAGATTTATGATATGCCCCTAGCGGTACCATCGATCGTTTGAACACGGAAGTCTCCAACCTAGCGGCTAGGTAAATTCAGACTCTATTTTTCAGCGTTATTTTTGCTCATCTGGTTCATATTGGAATTCGAACTCGGGTCTTATTTCAACATTTACATTGTCTTTCTAATTTTCATTGTTATTATTTCATTGACAGATTAGCAGCAAGCTAAAATCGCTCAAGATTTTTTTGGTAGAAATTAGTTTCCCGATCACTGGACTGGCCGTGCTTTACGGACGCGCTCCATGCCTGTCATCGTGGCTGCACTGCAGCTGACTGGCTCGGAGCAGCCACTGTGGCTGAACTGCAGCTGGCCGTCTCAGAGCGGCCACCATGGTTGTGTGACAGCCGCCCCACATCTGTCGCTGTGACTGCGCCCACAACTGGCAACATGTCTACATCCACAGCTGTCACGGTAGCTGCACCTTAGCTGGCCTGCACCTACCACCATGGATTCACCCACATCTGGCAACATAGCTGCACTGCAGCTGGCCCACCCACAGCTGCCAGCATGGCTGAAGTGCAGCTCACCCCAGGCTGATACCTGTTCAATTCTCCTTTCAATTTTGTTTGTAAGATCTGTTAGACGCGTTCTGATGTTACATTTGATGTCGGATTCTTATTTATTTGCTTCTTTGAGGAAGTTGAAGGCTGCTCTCTGATCGCTGCCAGGTCTAGATAGTCGACGCAGTGAAGTTGCTCGATGCTGTTCATGCAATCACGAACCATTGACGACTCTGTCTCTCTCTCTCTCTCTCTCCCCCTCTCTCTCTCTGTCTCTCTCTCTCTCTCTGGTTTTAATGCTGTTTATGCAATCACGAACCATTGATAAAACACATTGTTGGATTCTTATCTGTTTCCTTGAGTGGGGTAAGAAACTCTTTGCTTTCTCGTGTTTTCTTAAACCACCAGTACCCTGCCCAGCCAAACTTTTGTCGCCTCCTGAATTCATGGAGGACGTGGGCAGGCCTGGTAGAGGCTCGGGAGAGCCTCGACGCATGCCTGGTGGTCGCTCGTTTTGAAAATGGAAACGGGCGACCAGAGAATTAAAAAAAAAAACGAAAAAAAAATAAAAGTGAGAAAAGGGAAAAGAAAATTCTCCCTCTGAAAATGGCGCGAGCGGGGGGCTGTTCAACTCGGAGCGGCGCAAGTTCTGGAAACAGAGGCTCACTCAGTGTACAAAAAAAGTAAAAAAAAAAAAAGAGGTACAGGGCCTCGCTGCACTAGTCTCGAAATGTGCAAAACGAGAGTGAATCTTCGGCTAGATTATGGAAAGATACAACCCCAAGATTTGTGTCTTTTGTGCATGTCGAGAGCAGTGCAGCGAGGCCCACAGCGCTGTGCTGACGCCTCATCCTACGGCGTCAGATTCGCTTGGGACATGGAAATATAGGGCCTCGCTCCACTACTGTCTACGAGAGTGAATCTTCCGCTAGAACACGGATATGATTTCTGTCTTTTGTGCATGTTGGAGCGAGGCCCATACTACAGCTTCGTGGCCCTTTTGTTTTTTTTAGTTATTTTTCAAATTGAGATATTGTCCAATAAAAGAAAGATCCACTGCCACGATTTGTCTTTTGCGGTTGCTGTTGACAGTGTCTTTTGCGGTTGCTGTTGACAGTGCATGCGTTTCGAGCGTTCATCCTACGAGATTTGCATTGGCCCACGCTGAACTCTTGTCCAGATTACGAAAATGGGAGTGAATTTTACACTGGAACATGGAAGTATACAGAGAAGATCAGCATGGCCCTGCTGAAGAATGATGACTTCTGGCAATAGAGCCATTTACGGCTCTCTGACTACGAGTCCGCCATCCGTGCCTTCGCCTGCTCCTCTGGCAGGAGCAGCCACCCTATGGGGAAAAAGAAAACGTAGGACAGAAAAAGGAAGGAAAAAATAAATAAAAAAAAACATGGGAGGGAAAAAAAAACGAAATAACCAGCACAGAAGTACCGGTCGCCAGCATTGAAGGACCGGTCAGCCCCATATCACGACCACTTGCAAGCTGCATTCCCATAAGACGAAGAGGTTCGGTAGCTTGCCAACAACAAGGTTCGGGAAGACTGCTTCGGGGGTACTGGTGGTTTAAACAACCACTACCTTAGCCAGTGTTGGGAACCACATTTTTCGGGGGGTCCGGCGGAGGGTAGGGGAGAAGAAAATGTTTGGGCCTTGTGGGCCCGGCTGAGAAACAAAAAAAAAGAAAAAGAAGCTGCCCATTTGAAAGGAAGGACGTCGGGGGTGAAGCCATGAAGGAGGTGTGCTCACAGCAGTACTTCCAGGAATGCATCTGCCCAGAATCTGGGCTTGTTTCGTCTTCTGTTTTTTTTTTTTTTTTTTTTTTTTTTTTTTT